CCCCAAAACCCCAAAACCCCAAAACCCCTAAGTTAAAGAGTCAAATTGAACACTAATTATCCCATTTTAGATATTCCCTTCCAGTATCTATTTCTTCCTTGAGATGAAGGCTGACTGCACTCTTCTGAATTTAGACTTTTCCTTCGCTTTATTGCTTTTCTTTAATATCGTTGGCAACAGTTTTTTACTTGAATTTTCCGTCATGTTTTTCTGAGGCATTGTCTTCATTGAAGCCCTTTTCGTTAATGATCTAGTTGCATTTTTCTTATTTTCCTTTCTTCGGTTTTATAGAAGTGTTTGAAAAGTTCCCTTGGTCAATAAGCTCTGTCCCAAAGTTCACTATAATAATTAACTAGGTTACTTGATTTTAACTGTTTCCCAAATTCTAACCTTTCTTTCCATGTCATCAATCTTCCTAAAGTCCAGTGAGAGTTTTTAATTTGATATTCGGTCATCGTTAACTTCTCTCTTGCATGGATTATACCTAAAATCACTAAGTTAAAATTTTATCCAATTATTCGAAATATTCCAAGCTGGCATCAATAATATATCCTCATTATTTAGAGCACTTTGAGATGGAATTAATCAACCATTTTAAGAATTAATAGCCAATTACTGCTCCTTTTTTAATGGATGGTGTGCAAGAATCAGCTCAAAGATATCTTATGAGTGCTAACTATACTGAATCAGACTTTTGATAAATTTTTCGATTTCTCACAATATTTATGGGGAAGCTCAGAAGAATAGTTTAAGAAAAATTATTCAACAGCCCTTAAATACTCTGAAGAATCGAGAAACTTATTATGACTTGGACTCAGTGTGGTCTCCACTCTTAAAACCTTCTTGATAGAATTCTTGACTAACTCTCCACTGTGAAAGGAACAGTAGATTGATGAGTCATTCTAAAAATGTATGGTTGACTGCATCTCTAAATAGAATAAATAATTTGGTAATATTGTTGATGCCATCTTGAAGGAATTAAAATAATTAACCAATATTTCTATAAGAATTATTTTCTGCATACTTGCTATTTCTTTTTCGGTATCTTGATTATCTTCTTGAGGATCATGAGCAAGTTTTACAGCATAATGATAATCTTTGGCCATCACATCCTCCATTGAATCCAAAAGTTTTAGAACCCTCCTTCCCTCAGGAAGGAGTCTTACCTCTGCTAAGTCAGTATTCGAGAAGACTTCCTTATTTAATTTTCTGATAAAGGCACCTAATTTGAAGAGATTTTTCTTCGAAATTTTTTATTTGTGCATTGAGATCTTTCTCAGTCTTCTTCAAATCTTTTTGCGTCCTCTTAATCGCATCTGTTCAAGCAGAGATCCGAGCTTGATGCTCTGCTGAATTATCAGTAGTAGTGATGGATGATTTCATAACTGCAATATTATTTAGTCAACGTTTTGTTTTCAGTGCTCATCTTAGTAATATTGTTACTTCAAAGTATTAATCTCCTGGCTTAAAGAACAATTCTCTTTGAATACCTTATTGAAATGCTTGTATTTTACATATTTACCGAAACTTGGGTCTAAGGTTGGCTCTGGAGGAGCCACTGCTTGAGTAGAGATATCCTCTATCCCTCTATAGTTTCTTTAAATTACCCAAAAAAAGAATTTGCTAACTAAAATTTTCATACTTGTCTATTATCCCAAGAAAAGTATCAGGGACTTCGCTCAGATCTCTAACCAAGTCAAATGATCCAGATGAAGAATCAGAATTCTGCAAGTTGCCTTGGATCTGAGGGATGTCTGCCTCTTCCACAAATTCAATACTATCTATTTGATGGAGGCTGATCTTAAACGGATGTTCCTTATTTTCCATTTAATAATTTATATTTTTTTATTTTAAACTATCGCAAGAATTATGGGGTTTTGGGGTTTTGGGGTTTTGGGGTTTTGGGGTTTTGGGG